GCGTTGTGGCAGGCGCCTGTGGTCCCAGCTACTTGGGAAGCGGAGGCAGGAGACTCGCTTGAGCCCAGGAGTTGGAGGTTGCTGTGAGCTGTAATGCCACGGCACTCTGTCCAGGGGGACAGCTTGAGGCTCTGTCTCAAAAAAAAAAAAAAAAAAAAAAAGAAAAACAATGATTGACTGACTGATTGGCAGGTTCACACTGTTGTTGACAGGCTGGTCTTGAACTCCGAGGATCATGTGATCCCCCCCTCCCCATGCAGTGGTGCTATAGGCGCCAAGCCTATTTCTGTTATTCTTAGTTTATAATATATAATGAAGTAAGTACACAGCTCACCATAAAGCAGAAACACTCGGAGCCCTTAGCTTGTTTCCCTGCAACTGGAGGATTCCAGTGCTAGCATTAGCACTTCAGCTCTACCTCAGATCACCAGGCATTAGATTTCTCAGAAGCAGCACACAACCTAGATCCGTCACATGATGGTTTATAGTAAGGTTTGCGCTTCTGTGAGAACTGAATGCTGCTGCTGATCTGACAGAAGTGGAGCCACGGTAGTGTTGCCATGTAGTGGCAAGTGGCTATGAATACAAATGAAGCTTTGCTTGCTTGCTGCTTACCTTCCGCTGTGCAACTGGTGTCATTCCAGGCCATGGGGTACTGGTCTGCAGCCAAAGGGTTGGGGACCACAGACTTAGAGTGTCTGAATTAAATCCCGGACACATAATTTTTACTTAGATATTTTAAAATTCTGAAATAGCTCATTGTGACTAAAATACCCATGTTAACAATTATTTAGGCTGGGCCTGGTGGCTTGTGCCTGTATCCTAGCACTCTAGGAGGCCTAGGTGGTAGGATTGCTTAAGCTCAGGAGTTCAGGACCATCCTGAGCAAGAGCAAGACCTTGTCTCTACTAAAAAGAGGAAAAAAATTTATCCTGGCCTTGTGGCTGGTGCCTGTGGTCTCAGCTACTTGGGAGTCTTAGGCAGGACATTCTCATGAACCCAAGAGTTCAAAGTTGCTGTAAGGTAGGCTGAGATGGTACTTTAGCCTGGGGAGTTCAGTGAGACTCCTCCCCCCACTCCCCAAAACTACTTTATAATGCAAGATTAAGATCTAAGAAATTACCTTCAAATATTTATAGATTAAAACTACACTGAATCAATTGCTGGTTATTCATAGGAAGTATTTCAACTACAATTTTTAATAGTTACGAGGAATATTTAGCTTATTTTGTTAGCTAAGAGAATTTTGTTACCACACTACCTCATATTGTGTCTTACTTTTCAAGCCTTTGGTAGTTTTTCTTGTAATTATACAATTGAAGGTGAACAGAAGCAAATCTGATTACCACTTTTCAATCAATCCTCTGTCCACTCCCCACCCCACCCCCTAAGTAGAGAAAGTAGCCAGGCATCATAGTGGGCAACTGTATTCTCAACTACCCCAGAGGGTGAGGTAAGGAAATGACTTGAGCCTGAGAGTTTGAGGTTGCTGTGAGCGATGACATTATAGCATTCAACCCAGGGCACAGAGTGAGATTGTCTCAGAAAGGAAAAAAAAAAAAGAAAGAAAAATAGTGTGTTTGCTGTTTCTTGCTCATGTGAGTGCAAGATTTTTTTGAAATCAGATTTAGAAACATTTATTTGAGAAGAGAAATTTATGCAAGATTAAATTTTATGAATTAGAATTTTGTGAGTTTTGGTAGTAGTTGACCTTTCTACTGTATGCTTTTCTTTTTGTTGATATAATCAAACTCCACCTCAAAAAAGATCTTTCTTCCTCACAGTGTAAATAAATCTCATTAGGTCAAATATTTCTAACTCATACAGATTAGCATAGTGAAATTTTTTACTAGACATAGAGTAATAATGGTATATAGATTAAATCAAATATTGCTCCTTAATGAAGGTTCTCTCTTTAAAAGTCTTTTACATTAAAATAATCCATATGGATTTTTCTGTGCTATTAATTTTTTTTCTTTCTTTATCCTTTTTTTGTAGAGACAGAGTCTCACTTTATCACCCTCGGTAGAGTGGTGTAGCATCACAGCTCACCGCAACCTCCAACTCCTGGGCTTAGGCGATCTCTTGCCTCAGCCTCCCGAGTAGCTGTGTCCACCAGAACACCCTGCTATTTTTTTGTTGCAGTTTGGCCAGGGCCGGGTTTGAACCCGCCACCCTTGGTATATGGAGCCGACGCCCTGCCCACTGAACCACAGGCACTGCTTGATGTGCTTTTAATATTTTATACAAGTTTAAATGTACTCAACTTTGCAGACTTTTTTTGCTTTAAAAATATTCTCTTTAAAAATGTTAGGCTGGTAAATGTTATTACTATATGTGTTTTCTACCACAATAAAAAGATTTCTTTAAATCAATGCACAAAATGAAAACCTTACTTGCCAGCTGTTTTCAATAACAGATCTCCATATTGCTTGCTCTACACCAGGGTTCTCAACTTGTGGGTTGTGACCCCTTTGTAACAATGAAAGTACACTGCGGCATTAGGAAGGTTGAGAACCATTGCTCTTTATTTCTCCTCTACTGTCCTCCATTCTTCCTTTATTTCTTGAATTTTAGCACTAAGCAAACCTCCTTCTCTTTTTTTCTTTTTTCTTTTTTTTTTTTT